TAGATATATAATTACTGTACATTTACAAAACTCTAAGTGAAATATCATTTCAAAATAATGACATAAAACCTATACTGGTTGACAGGAGAGTGAAAATATACATTTTATTAAGCAATTGAAAATGTATTTATATAATCGAATATCAATAATTGATAATTTTGACATCCCTATATTTACCGTAACGTACAATTTGAGCTTAAGGTATTTCCACCCTCCTATGATGTCATAGCTTTTTGCAAAAACTGTAATTCTTTTAAATTCATACCTTATTGGAAAATATCTTTTGGAAGAGTGCTTTACAATAGGTGTAATGATAAATATTGTTGAATTAAAGAATTCAAAAAATTCATATTTTCTATATTTAATAAATTGTTCAATCTTTAAAAAATGTTTACAAGGGCAGTTACTCCTTCTAAGGTCTCTTCATTCAGGCATTTGCTTTTCTCTAAAATAGTTTACCTGATATTCACAATTCAAAAGTATCTTTTAAGTAGGAAGTATTTAGGAACACTCAGCATTAGAATTATGCATTTTAACCAGTTTTTACTTATTTTTAGCAATACTGTTTACAAAAAATGAACAATTTTTTTATGTTGATATACACCTCTGTTTATTTATGTTTCGCATCTTAAAGCCATATATGGCGTAACTGGTCAAAAAAAAAATTAAAAATACAAAATTAAGTAAAGAAATATAGTTAATACATTTACATTAAAACTTTTCATACAATTCTGAACACGGAGAACACCTCGTTTCATCTAAAAATTCGATTTTATCTTCTCTGTATTGTGAAATTTAAATCTTTTGTATTTTCTTCCGAGTCGGAGAAAATTCCGAGAATCCAAATTAAATTGTAATATCTTTAAAACGCAATTGACTTAAATGTTGTAATTTACGGAAAAGTTCTATCTTTATATAAAGCAATAAAGATACAATTAATAAGTTCTTATAATCTTAGTCTAAAAATTTTTAGTGTAAATACACCATATATGGCTTTAAATAATATGGTGACCTATAAATTTTTTGCCATAAACGGGAAGTTTGAAGTATGTTGAATAAAAATGCAGTTTTTGTATTTTGAACCTATAAAATTGTGAGGGTGGAAATTCCTCAAGGGCCGATGAAATAAATGATTTGTTTCTTAGGGCGAGATTTAATATCGTGTCACAGGTTTAGAAAAGAGAATAATTCTTCGAATATTTTCTACTTAGAATTTAAAAATTAAATAGACTTGTAGTGTAAACTACACTTTAAAAGATGTACCAAACCATGTGAAGTAGGTCGAGGGTATGGTAATTCCATTCCTTGTGACTCTGACTTGTAACTAGTGATTTCTCCAGAAAAGAAGTTAATGGGAGATAAATACCCGACCTTCCAAGTTCATGAAGAGCATTAAAGAATATATGTTTGTTTTTTGTTTGTGCTCAATGTTCATTCGAAAACGTTGCAATCATACTGAGAAGCCACCAATTGACGTTTCAGAGGACTGCAAATTTTTACCTTTTCTCAGACTGTCACAGTATAAGGCCATTAAGCAGTGCGGTCTCTTTTCATCAGAGCACCTTCTTTCACACAGGCTCTCAGTTAATACAGTTTCATCTAAATTTCCGATCTCCACATTAATGCTAATAAACTTGTAAACTCTGTCTGGCTTTGGAATTTGAACCCACGAAGTGAAGTTCAACTCCTTACTTTGCGAATCTGTAGCAAATGATCTAACCACTGCGCCACTCAGTGGCATAAAAAAAAATAAAAGGTAAGCAACAAACCGATGCATCAACATAGACAGTTAAACCTTGAAATGTACATTTTTCTTCTTATCCCAGTTTCCTTTTAGGAAGATTAAGACATCGTCAGAATCTCGAAAGTGTTGCCTCCAGGATCTTGCACCACTATATTTAGCGTAAAGAGAGAGATTAATCTCAGAAGAAGTATACAACAAATTTGATTTTTTAGATGCACACATTTATTGGCCCAAGTTTCTTTTACATGAAAATAGACAACATATAAATTCAGGCGAATCCATCACAGTAACCATTGATGAATGAGAAGCACCAGAACTGTGCTTGTATTACAATCACTCACAACATCATAACCAGGCCAAGCTGATCATAGGAAACAAATGTCACTTATAACTGTTCACATTGTGTAATACAATGTGTAAATACTTTTTCTAGGAGATTTTAATTTACAGTGAAACATGTCTTAATCTAGATGTTGTATATTCTATAACAATATCTGTTAAACATTTTCTGAAATTTTGTTTTATCTGAAATGTTTATCAGACATTTTTTCAGCACCAGCGATATCTAATTTTTAATTTAACAATAATGTTTATAATGAAGTTCTCTTCCTTTATGTATATATCATTTGGAGAATCTTTTTTTCAAAATTAAGATTTTGATGACATTTTATAATGGCAAAGTGGCCTATTTTAATAAAAGAAAGTTATAAACCTATCAGATGGCTCCATATGCATGTACATACAACTATCATTATCTGTATACATGATCTATTAATTCTGTTTTCAAAATAGCATTTACCAAATAAAGGCAGTTCCAGAAAATAAAGCTAAATATATTCAAATCCACCTAGCCTGCGTAAATAAAAAAAAAATGCAAACTATGGATAAAGAAGTGTGGAAACCATGTTGTTCCAAAATGAAATAACTAATACAAACAAATGATATAATTTAATCAATCAAAATGGTTATAAGATACATTCGATTCTGCATTTCTTAATGGTTCAAAACAACAAAAAGTATTCCACAGAATATCATGTATAAATCTGCACAATATACCGAATGCCAAAACAAGAATACTTCTACATCATACAAATATATTCTTTACATATGAACCACAGTACATATACATACATACACTTTACATATGAACCAAAAAAATCTTGCAAGTAGGTTATCAGCATTGGCTCGGGCTAATTCGAAAGTGAAATTTAAAGTTGGCAGTAAATTGTAGTGATTGAATAAAATTTAGTAAAGAAAGATATTGGAACCTACTGAAAATCACATATTTTTGGTTTGAGGAAAAATTGTTGGTTCGTGGGGATTTGATTTCGTGGATGAAGAACTTTTCAGTACTTGTGCACATGAAAATTTACATTTCGAGATGGATATAAATTTGTGGGTCTCTTCATCTCGCGAAAACAACGAAAATTAAACCCCACGAAAATTAGTGATTTCACAGTATTTTACTTGTCAGATTTTGTCGAGCTAGTTGATTTTTATTCTAACTGTTCTATCCCTCCACCCACTTTAAAAAAAAAACCCGATGCTACATATACCTGAATTAATTTTTCTTAATGGTGTTCATCGAAATGCTTGGTTGTGCCCTCAAACTGGAATAGTTTTTAAAGGCCTGGAATTCCTTGACCAATTTTATTTTATTAGCCCAACTATATTTCTAAGAAGGCAAGATGTATGGTATGTAAGTTTCATCTACATATGTTATGTAGTTCATATTAAAAAACCAAAAGGGATAATAGACGATATCCCATTCAGGGAGTAAACATAGCAGTTAAAATTACTTTCCATACATTGTAATTGAAATAAAATATTTTTGGCGCATAATGCGCTCCATACTGAAGATCCGTAAGTGTCCACCCAACCGAAAATGTCCACTAGCAGTACAGCACGGGGAAACTCTAAGCAAACGGACCTGTACAATGGAGTGGGGAAATTTTCATCATTGTTAATCATTTGTATGCAAATATGAGCATGGGATTAGTAGATAATAATGTACACAATGCATCAAGTCTTTCTGAGAGCGATTTAAAAAAACTAGCCTTTTTAAAAAACACATGTAGTATTTTATCTAGTAACCCATAAATGCATTAAATGCAACTCATTCAGCTGATTGGTCTATTTGTGTCCCTCACTGAACAGACGTCACAAAAAATATTTTCCTCGACCTGATGATTCTCGCGATGCTTTTCCCGCGCACATGCGCAGATCCAGGTTAAACGTCAATCCTTTATAAATATGCATGAGAATATCGTGTTCTTTTCCTGACCAGTACTTTGTCAATACCGAATAAAATTTCATCGAATTTGCAAGAATGCTTCATTTTTGGTAGCTTATCATACTCCGAAAATTTTTGTTCGGTTTCAGCTCTGCAAAAATACTGTTTAACACGGCATACATATCTTAACAAAAAGTTATTATATGATCACATTGCAATATATTTAAGATACAAATTAGTAAACCTTTTTGAATTCAAACATTTAAAGCAGTCTAAATATAAACTATTTTTTAATCAATTCAGTGTCTGCTCATTGTTTTATTACCCCGTGAATGTTGTGTAATTTTTTGGAATTAAAAATTCAATGAGTTGCATCGATTTTTTGTGTCTGAGTCATTTAAATGCATTGTTCAGTCAATGCAAAATGCACACTTTAAACTTTAAAACGCCTTTAGATGACCAAAAATACAATGTACATTCAAATAGATCACAAAAACCTTAGTTTAAAACAGGGATTAACAGCACAGGAGTTGAATACACCGTTGGTATTTACGTCAAACCTGTACTAAGTAAGGCTTAATTTTTTTTTTTATAATTTCTTAATCTATTTTTTTTCATGATTATCAATTGACTCCTGATTTATAAATTTACCCAAGCAAAAATATGAATTATAATGGAACGTTTAAAATTCAATCTTTCTACAGGAATTTTGTTAAAAACCCAATGGACCCAGTGTTCAGTGCCCAGGATGTCCTGCGCTGTAACCTTTGTGAGACTCCTGTTCCCCCAATGTACTGTGACTTTTGTCATGTCAAACTCTGTAAGGCCTGTGAAGGGGAACATCTCTCTGATTTATCTAAAGAACATAAAGTGGTACCATACAAACAAAAGAGCACTAAACCTATTTGTCCCACCCATGCTGGAAAACTCTGTGAACTTCACTGTAAGGAGTGTGACATCCCAGTGTGTTCCTTTTGTGTATCAGACATACATAAGGGGCACACCTTCCTAGACATAATTAGAACAGAAGAAGATAGTTACACAATGAAGACACCAGAAGATGTATCCTGTTCTCCAGTCAAACCACTGCTTGATGAACCAGAACTGATCACAACCATTGATACTGGGTATAAGGAACTATATAGTGTTACCTGTCTCAGTGATGAAAAAATCTGGACATGTGGATTTGACAAAATCATGAAACTCTACAACCTCCAGGGGAAACTACGAAAGTCAATTCAAACCAAGTCAGGGAACACACCATATGACATAGCAGTGATAAAGAGTGGAGATCTAGTTTATACTGACCTTGATACAAGAACAGTGAACATAGTGAAAAATAAACAGATACAGGAAGTAATCAGACTACAGGGGTGGAAACCTAAATATGTCTGTAGTACCTCCTCTGGTGACCTCCTGGTTATCATGGTCGGTGATTATGAAGAACAAACAAAAGTTGTCCGTTACTCTGGCACAACAGTAAAACAAAGCATTCAGTTTGATAGTGAGGGTAACCCCCTGTATTCAACTAGTGTCTTCAGTAAATACGTCACTGAGAACAGGAACCTGGATATCTGTGTGGCTGACAATGGAGCCAGTGCAGTAGTGGTGGTTAATCAGGCAGGAAAACTCCGATTTACATACACTGGTCATCCCTATACTGACAAGGATTCATTTAGACCAGTTGGCATCACCACAGACAGCCAGAGTCACATCCTGACGGCAGACTATAACAACCACCGTATCCACATCCTGGATCAGGCTGGACATTTCCTCCATTACATTGATAACTGTGATTTACAGTATCCACGGGGTATATGTGTAGACTCCAGAGACAACCTCTTTGTGACTGAGCAGTTCAGTGGTCAAGTGAAGAAAATTAAATACATGTAAACAAATTGTTTTTAAACAAAAGGAATCAGAACATGATACATTTTAAACACCAATTTCAAAACAACAGCAATTGTCAATTAATTTCTTTTATATACACACAGTTACATGAAGAATGTACCATACGACATTAACATGATTAAAACCAAAATATATAGTTGTCGATTGTTGAGATAAACAATTTTGCTTCAGTAATGTATAACAAAATATTGACTGTTAAAGAGTTATCGATAGAAGACTTTTGGCCCCTCTCGGTCCTTAGTTTGAGTACCCAACACCTTTTTCTTCATTTTACCTTAAAGCTCTCAGGAATTTGAACACTTTTTGTTCAACAACTATTCAGAGATTCTTTTTCGTGTTCGAGTAATTTGCAAAAGAAATATTTAGGGGCCAGCCCTTCAACTCTTAGTAGGGACATTTAGCAAGAAATGAAAGGTTGCATATTGTTCAGAGCATTATTTTGAACATCTTTTGTTCAATATTACTTATCAAAATATTTCCCATTTTTGAGATTTAAAGCGTCAAAGATTTAGCATTTTGGCCCTTTGTGGCCCCTAATTATGTTTCATACGACATTCAAATCACACTATATAGTTTTAGGTTGAGATAAACAAAATATTGACTGTTACAGAGTTATCGAATAAAGACTTTTGGTCCCTCTCGGCCCCTAATGTGATGAGTAAGAACTTTTTTCTTGATATCAAATTAAAGATCCTGTCATTCTGTACAAATATTGCTCAATATGTTTTAACAAAATAATTATACTTTAAAAGATTTGATACAAAATGTCTCGAAAAATAACTCCTGGTTCCTAAATTTCGACCTCTACCGAGCTTCCATAATAGGCACTTCCGGAAAATTCGACAACCCATGTGCACAATGGAAACATGTCCTCCAACTTTGGTAAAAAGTTCAGCGCTCAAGCTTAAACGCAGAAGGATAAAACGTACGCTGAACTAGGACCTGAGCTCCGCTACAAAATGTAGTGTGTTGCATACGTAAAGTGACAATAGAATAAATCGTAATACTGTGAAGCCTTTAAAGTGTAAAACAAACAAATTTTAAAAAGGAATAACCATCTGATGGGTGTTAGAAAAGATAGAGGGGGTGGAGGGTGGGTGCTGAGCAACATTAACTGCAATTTTATGCGATATATGATATATAAGCGTTTAACATTTATGGATTACGTTAGGTGACCTGTGGTCTCCCCTATGATTTTATTCCATGTACCGTTATAGTACACATCAGTAGGGGACACCCTATGATTGTATTCCATGTAACGTTATAGTACACATCAGTTGGGGACAACAGTAAGGTGACCAGAGAACAAGTAATATTGTATATCAGTAGGGGGACCAGAGGTCACCTTATATTGTACATCAGTAGGGGGACATCAGTAGGGAGAGCAAAGGTCACCTTGTATAGATCTTGCACCACTATATTTAGTGTAAAGAGAGAGATTAATCTCAGAAGAAGTATACAACAAATTTGATTTTTTAGATGCACACATTTATTGGCCCAAGTTTCTTTTACATGAAAATAGACAACATATAAATTCAGGCGAATCCATCACAGTAATCTTTGATGAATGAGAAGCACCAGAGCTGTGCTTGTATTACAATCACTCACAACATCATAACCAGGCCAAGCTGGTCATAGGAAACAAATGTCACTTATAAATGTTCAAATTGTGTAATACATTGTGTAAATACTTTTTTCTAGGAGATTTTAATTTACAGTGAAACATGTCTTAATCTAGATGTTGTATATTCTGTAACAATATCTGTTAAACGTTTTCTGAAATTGTTTTATTTGAAATGTTTATCAGACATTTTCTCAGCACCAGCAATATCTAATTTTTTATTTAACATTAATGTTTATAATAAAGTTCTCTTCCTTCATGTATATATCATTTGGAGAATCTTTTTTTTTTCAAAATTAAGATTTTGATGACTGCAATTGCAAACAATTTATAATGGCAAAGTGGCCTTATTTTAATAAAAGAAAGTTATAAACCTATCAGATGGCTCCATATACATGTACATACATCTATCATTATCTGTATACAAGATCTATTAATTCTGTAATGAAAAAAATAACCCGTTTTCAAAATAGCATTTACCAAATAAAGGCTGTTCCCGAAAATAAAGCTAAAAATATTCAAATCCACCTAGCCTGCATAAATAAAAAAAATGCAAACAATATTGTGCAAAAAAAACTAAAAAAGATCACAACTTCAGACCAGCTGCTATTCAACATTACATAAGTTGTCAAGTAATCTATCACAATAAATGTGTATTTTCACTAATTTTTTTTTCTTTCAGTTCATCTGTATATTTATGTTCAGTGTGTTGTTTCTCTGGTTTCAGATTTCTGTTATTTCTGTATACTCGAGTGGTTCAATACAGTTTTGTATATATAATTAGTTGATACTCAAGGGTACATTTGTGAAATGTTTTTCATGTTCATGTTTTTTTAACGAATTTATTAGATCTTTTACCTACTACAAACAATCCAAAAGAAACCATCCACATGTACATTTCACAACAATTGAAATATTACAAATCTAAGTCTCAACTTTGCCTTCACCATTTCAAGTATTGTAATTTAAAGTGCACAAAATCATGTACATGTGTATACATATTATACACATTTCATACTTTTCTCTACTACATATGTTAGAAGATATAAAACTTTTCAGTTGTATTTGTAGAATTCTATACTTTGTATTCTTTCTCACGATATACATACAAACTATACCATTATGATACCTTTATGAGAAATATTCAACAAGTAAGTAATTTAATGGTGCTTACATATATTTCATTTTAACAACTGTTAAATGCATACAAATACTCAACATACAAGCAAACAATTTTACAAGACAAAAATTTGTAAGAAAAATTTCAACACACAAAAATTAGACTGACTACAAAATCTGAGGGAAAATAACCCTGTGTAGGTTTCCATTTCAACATCCTACTAAATACTCTTGTATAAAAATAGCTTTAAAAGAAAACATTTCTTTGTTGTGTAGATAAACTTCCACTCAATAAATAAAAATCTATTCTAGCTAAAACTATTGGTCCCCAGTTGTAATTATAAGCCTATCGTTCACCGTCTTACAACACCTAGCCGTTTTTTAAGAAACGCAGAGGAGACTTTGTTAGCGTTCTTGGTCAGAAGATCCCGACCGCCATTTTTGTTCCACTCGGTTTCAAAGTCCTTGCCGAGGATTTCTGCTCCTTTTTTACGAGTAAGTCCGGTCTCCTCTAAACTCAGCTCACACATCTGTAGATCATGAACTCCTGAAATATATAAAATAAAGTTTAAAGAGAAAATTTAAAAAATTCTGTTTGAGAGGAAGGTAAAAATAAACAATTGCAATATTCAGCAATATTAAATATTTATGAAGATATCCAACTCAGATCATTATTTACTAATTACAATGTCTTGAAAGTTGATTTTTTGTATACTTGACAGATAGGTAAAATTGTTTAAAATTTTTGGTCTTCCCATCTCACCAGCGACTAGCAGGAGTGGTTGTTTGTCTGGGTAAAGCTCCATCTGGCGAGCAATGTACTGACCATCAAAGTGGGCGTACCACTGACCATGTTTCTTGTGGGTGGGGTCGTCACGAAATTCATCGGCTGGGCGTGCAAACGGAATACGGAAAAATCTCTGCTGGTTCTCCACAGCTGGTTTGGTTTGTTGTGGTGCCACCTGTGGCTCATCAGCTGTAAAAGGAAGAATATTATAATGTTCCTATTCTTGTGTGTGTGTGGGGGGGAGGGGGGGGGGTATAGGTGAGTGTTAGTAGTGTGTAGAAAACCATTTATTTCTTCAAAGCTGCAAAATTAATATCAAATTGAAGCTTGGAAAGAATGTATTGATCAATTTACAAAATTAGTTTAACAAGAATAAAATTCCAAATCTACAGTGTAATACAATTTTTGTAATGTTTTTTCCTCTTTTTGACTCACCATTGGAGAGAACACTTTCTGGGGCCCTTTCGTCCTCTTTAGCCCCTGTTTTCTTCTTGTTCTTTTGTTTCCAGGAGTGGTACACTTTCAGTCGCCTGTGGAACTCTTCCCTGCAGGCATCTAACAACTCAATGTCTGCAATAAAGACAGAAGTGGTTTGAGGACTCATGCCACAAAAAAGGGTTTTTTTTTCATTGTTCAAAGTAAACATACCCATAAATACATTTCAAACAATGATTTTTTAACTTAAAATATTAACTGACCACACGATGTGTTGATGGCATCTCTGAGCTCTGCGTACTTCCACTTGGACAGATCGTATTTCTTCTGAAGAGCTGCTGCTCGTGACGCCCGAACTTCCTCGGATCTATAAATAGAAATGATAGCTCTCATAACAAATAATTCTGTGTGTGTGCAGCACAATGTTAAGCAAGATGCTGATCAGATCTGAGTGCAGGAAGCAGGGTATATCGATATAAAACGATGCAATGGAAAAGCTTGCATTTTGAATTTTCTATATTTATATTGAATCACTAAATTTCAGTTTTTTTAACAAGAATAATGTAAAATATATTTAGTAAAAATTATTTTATGCATGATTGTTTAATGAATTGATTGTAATCATTATGTTTAACATATTCTGCCTGGTATTCATAGCTGCAATAAACATAAAGAGCATTGACTTGTCTAGCATTGGGCTAAAAGGAAAAGAAATTGAGTGCTCGGTAACATTTTTGGCAACACATAGAAGAAAAATCATTTCATATATCAGAAAATCAATTAACAGTAGACTCAGCTTTCATATTTATAGAAATTCTTTTTTTAAATATTCTCTGATTATACATGTATCAATCAGCGGTATTTAAAATTCTGAACTAGATACAAAAAGATCTTACTTTCTACCATCATCAGTGCTGTATATGAAAAGTTAACATCATATATTACAAGTATACTAACATTGAATGGAAATCTTCAAAATAATGCTGAAAAGTAAGATTTCAAAATTTCTCAACACAACTTTAGAGCCATTAGATGAATACTGTGGTTTCATCAATTTTCATCGGCATCAATTTTCGTGGATTTTGTAAAACAGACATTTTCGAGGATACGTAATTTCGTGGACAAAAGCATTGCCTATACAAATGTATGTCCTATTTCGTAATTCAATGAACATTTGAATTCGTGGATCGGCTCAACAACGAAATCCACGAAAATTGGTGCCCAACGAATATTGATGAAACCACAGTACTACATATTGGTTCTGTCCTTCAACAAGCTGCTGTTAACATTGTTTGCAATATTACACAACCTGTTTCTGTCTTTGAAGTTTGAACACTAAGTTATATCTGACTACAAGTTCAAACTTGTTTTTGAGCCTTACTGATGGTCCTATATGTCTGTTGTCTTTGTCCGAACTCACTGTTTCTGTGACCTTACTCTCTGAGCTTACTTATGTGGTGAAGGAATTACAGCATACAGGGTTATTTTTGCTCTGTGTTATTTCGCCCTTTTGAACTTGTGAATAATTTTGCCCTTTGTAAAAATCGGCCATTCATAGTTCTGTTTAAGAAATTATGCTGTGTTCTTTGAATTTGCCTAAATTTTTAATTCGCCCTATCATGGAGTGGACGAAACATTTCCCTGTATACAGTATTACAATGCTATCAATGTCTGAGCTCACTATTTCTGTAAGCATACTCTATACTGTAGATCACTTAATTTTCGCGACTCCTTATTTTCGCGAGATAGTCATTTACTCTTGATTAGCGAGACAATATTTTCACGAATTATGGTTAATGCACAATATAATCCTAAAGAATACCACTATACGCGAGAAATAAGTTTTTGCAGGCACACAGTCTCGCGTAGTTACACCAAAATAAAGTTCTCGCGAATAAAAAGTGATTTACAGTATTTTCCACCTCACTTTGATCCTCTGTCTCTGAACTCACTGTTTTTGAGATTATTTCCCTTTAGTAAAGTTATAATTACTTTAGACTAATATTTGTGCTTAAGCTCCTTTTTTTCTGTGAGGTCTATAATCTTACCTCTGTAGAGTTGGTACCACCACATCTTCCACCCATTTCTTTGACCTCTTTAAGCTTACCTCTGTAGAGGATTTGCATGCTATCTATGTCTTTAAGCTGTTTATTCTGTGAAGCTTACCTCTGTAGAGGAGGTACCACCACATCTTCAACCTCGTTCTGATTCTCTGCCTCTTTCTCACTATATCTGTGAGTTCTCTGAGCTGTTTTATTAACTACGAGCTTACCTCTGTAGAGGAGGTACCACGACATCTTCCACCTCGTTCTGATCCTCAGACGCCAGACGTAGAGCCAGCTCTCTGTCACGTCTCTCTTGCTCAAGGATCTCCTGTCTGATTATCAACAATAGAGAGCAATTAGACAGTGAAGTCTTATCATTCAAATCAATCAATTATAAACTTGACTACATCATAGATAATGAGGTTGCCTCCTTATATAATATGGCCCACCTTCTCTTGTTCTCTTCTCTCTCCTTTGCTAACTGTTCTGCCATCAGGGCCTGAGATTAAACAATTTAAGATTGATATAAAGAATTTGCAAGAAAGTTTTCATAATATTTATAGCATGAGACATATACACGAAGTTAGTCAGAATATTTTTCACTGCAATGCACAATTTGTGTTTACATGTATCTGATTATTTTCTACTTTAGGATACTAACACCTGCATGTTATGAGACCAACTGGTCAGCAGTAACAAACTATAATAGATATTTTGTTTTCTAAATTGACTACCTTCTGTTTCTTTTCTTCTTCCTCTCTCTTCTTTCTTTCCTCTTCTTCCTTCTTACGTTTAGCCTCCATTTCTGCTTTTCTGGAATTCCATAGATAGAAATGTTAATTTTTATCAAATTGTAGAAATTTGTTCTACCATACCACATTGGTGCAAAATATTCTTTAAGAATAGAAAATTGCAACTTCTTAATACCATACTACTGCTTTTCTGGAAGGCAAAAACGATAATGCAAAACATTTCTGAATTTCCTAATTGTTCACATTAGTAGAACATAAGTTGTAGAAGCACTTAAACATCAAATACTGTAGACGTAGTTTTTTCCGCGGGGTCAAGTTAAAAACTTCTCCTTTACATTATACCAAAACTATGATACTTTTAAAACCCAGTGATTTAATTTAAACTGAGATCATAAGACACCTACAGCTTTCTTTCTTCTTCCTCCTGTTTCTTCCTTCTTTCTTCTTCTTCCTTTCGTTTCTTCTCTCTCTCCATTTCCTCCTACAAAGTGGAAAAAAGCAATGTAAAACAATAATGATACATTCAAACCATTTTCACATTTTGATACAACTCTATACATAGACCTAACTTTTGTGAGATACCTGTATCTTTCGGGGCCTCTTTTGTGCCTATATGATATTAAGAATTACCCTATGATATTAAGAGATACCTGTATTTTCCTGAGTCTCTCCTGTTCGGCCTTGATCTTCTCGTCCTCCAGTTTCTTCCTCAGATCTTGGAACGTCTGGTCCATCTGACTCAGAAGGTGGTTCATCGTCCTCTGCATCTCTTCAGGGGTGATGTTGGTTGTCTGAAATCATTAACACACATCAACTCACTCAACTAAATGTTGTCTGATAATCATTAACATTACACTGTACACACCTAAAGTTTATATTGTTAAAAAAATAATTTTTAGACAATGGCCACTTCAAGAAAACCTTAATTATAATAATCAATAGTCTCCTATTAAGGCATCTTTGTATACAAGAAATGTTTTGCTGTTCTCCCCTACAATTTGACACTTACCCTGATTTTATGGACAAAGTCCAGAAAGGCCTTTTCGATTTCCTTGGCCTGCTTGGTTGCCTTCTCTTTCTCCTTCTTTAGTTGACTGATGATCTCCTCCATCTGTGAGAGCTGAGCCTGGGACTGTCTAACCTGTACTATCATCTCATACCTGTGAAGTAACACTCAATTATACCTGACATATCCAAAATAAATCACAATAGATGAGATACGATGATGATGTTTTCTCTTGAATAATTGTTGAGAAAGGTGCCATTTTAGCCTCTTTTCCAGCACCATAACTTACTTGGGTTCTGAACCTCCTGACATCTCTATAATAACTTACTTGGCTCTGAACCTCCTGACATCTCTATAATAACTTACTTGGGTCTGAATCTCCTGACATCCCTCCACATTCTGACTGACTTCTGTAACGTGATGATCTGAGTTCTTCTCCACAGAATCTTGTTCTTCACTGAAAAATCAAAACCACACTCCCCCTTAACCAATATACATAGCAAAAGCAGCCACAATAAGACTTCCTTTGTCATATAGTGTTATATGCTTCGTTAGAAAAGTTTTATTTCATTTTCCCCTTGCATGAAAACAAACATGATCACGGAAAAATTGATAATTTGTCATGGTGTATAAATATGACCACTGAACTAATCAGAATGACAGAATTTAAAGTACTGTTCATGACTGACTTCTGACTTACATTTGATGACAGATAGGGCACACCACTGAGCTTTCTTCCAGCGAGAACACAGCAGCCACCGTTTGACCTTTTTCACTAACATGGCCAGATTTTCTGGGTCACTCTTCATAATCTGGTCAAACTCAGCAAATTTTCCAGGTCGGAAAAAGACTTTTGTGAGACCGAATTTGAATTCGTTTTCATTCAATCCTAAAGCTTTAAATAGGGCCTGAAAAAAAAAACAATCATTAAGGAATTGTGTCATAATATACAATAAGTCATGTACTGTTCTGAATCAATAGGCTGACACATACAAAAATAAAAAATATTTGAATCATTGGATCATTTTGTCCAAATGAGCTGGTGGGCAATCAAGGCATAGCATTCATACAAGTATAATTGCATAGCATTAAAAAACCTGTAATTCTAAATTTTTGCTTCTTTAAAACACTTTTGTGTACATACTTTACTTAAAAGTCTAGGGTCAAGGCGAGCTATATCATTGCATACATACTTTACAGAAAAGTCTAGGGTCCAGGCGAGCTATATCAGCAGGCATGTACTTTTTGTACATATTGTAGAGATCAGCAAACTGTGTACGAGAGGGGAACCCCTGCTGCATCAGCTCCAACACTGAACCCATACCTGTAATACATTGATAAATATTACAGAACAATTCTTCATGTTAAGGCAAGCAGTAGCTAATTAAGTTAAAATTTGCCTGTAATAAAAAAATGTAATTTTTTCTTCAAGACAAGAAAAAGAAGCTTACTTAATTGAAAAGTTTAAAAAAAAAATATTGCTTGTCTAGAAAAATGAGAAGTTGTCCTATAATTTCTTACCTGAGCATTCAAGCTGACTTAAAATCTGCCCTCCTTCAAACAGATGGTCAACCATCTTTACATTGGGTTTAATACATCTGATGAAATTTGTTCCCTAATTCAAAGAATAAACAAATGAATTTCAGGAGAAAGTCATCATATTAAACTCCATAAAGTGTAAAAGATTTAGGAGTTGCCTCCCATACACTGTAAACATATCGTATTTTTTATATAATATTTTGGAGTTGCCCCCTTTTTACCATAGACTCACCATATACCCTATAGATACAAGATTTTGGAGTTGCCTCCCTAACACCATTCACTCACCGTACTCTTGAGTTTCTCCATCAGGGTTTGTAGCTGAGATCTGAACTTGCTTCCCACGCTGATGAAGTTGAGTTTGCCAGAGGAGACCTGGATTCCCTCAAACATCGTCTTCAACATCTTATTAGAACTCGTCTGTATAAGGAACTCCAGTGAAGCGTGAAGGGCATCGTTGTTTTTCTCTATGAACAAATTCTGTAAAGAACAGAGCAACAAATTAATGAACAGCAAAATACAAAACCTGAACACAAAATCAGTACATAATTTCATAAACAATAATTGAAGCCTATTAGAAAATTTTTTTTTCAAATTCACTTTTGATGCCTTCAAGATCATTTTCATCTTTTAGACAGTCATATAAATATGAAATGCAATTCTAAATACAGAACAAAACTTTATCTTTAAACATAATACATACCGTGTGATAACAGACAGCTCCAGCAAAATGGCGGATCAGGAATCCCTCGTCATCTCTTACATCACGGTGGATTTTTAACTTGGACTTCCTGGGCAACTGAAAGGAACAAGTTTATACTGTCAAACCTTATTATCTAAAACTCTCAAAGGGACCAAAATTAAACTCTGAGATACCTGAGGAATCAAGATTATGAAGGTAGTAAGCATAAAAAATTAGCTGCCAATGAGACACATTTCTAGTGCAGCAAAACTCGTTTAGTACGAACACGGATATTGCAAATTCAAGGATATAACGAAGTCATCTTGGTTCCCCAGCTATATAAATTTAATGAATTTCTTATACGGTTATATCAAATAACGGATATAGTGAAGCAATTTCAGAGGTCCCAGTGACTTCATTATAACCAAGTGTTGCAGTATTCAAGATTAAAGTGTTTGAGATATGACATTTTAATTAGCTGTTTCATCTTTAATTAAGTAGTGTTCATGCTACGCATGTTATCAACTTTAAGACAGATCTAGAAATATGAAATGCTACAAGAACATACATGAAGTCTAATTGTAACTTGTTGACAGATACATAGAATGCTACATGAACTTACACTGAATCTGAAGTGTGAGTTGACAGACATGAACTTACACTGAATCTGAAGTGTGACTTGTTGACATGAACTTACAATAAGTCCAAAGTTTGACTTGTTACAAGAACTTACACTGAGTCTTAAGTGTGACTTGTTGACAAGCACACACAATGTTACATGAACTTACACTGAGTCTGAAGTGTGACTTATTGACATGAACTTACAATAAGTCCAAAGTGTGACTTGTTACAAGAACTTACACTAAGTCTTAAGTGGGACTTGTTGACAAACACACATAATGTTACATGAACTTACAGAGAATCTGAAGTGGGATTTGTTGACACGAACTTACACTGAGTCTGAACTGTGACTTGTTGACAGCCATGAACTTACACTGAATCTGAAGTATGACTTGTTGACATGAACTTACAATATGTCCGAAGTGTGACTTGTTACAAGAACTTACACTCAATCTGAAGTTAACTTGTTGACAAACACACACAATGTTACATGAACTTACACTGAGTCTGAAGTGTGACTTGTTGACATGAACTTACACTGAGTCTGAAGTGTGACTTGTTGACATGAACTTACACTGAGTCTGAAGTGGGACTTGTTGCGGTTGTGGACCTCCATTGTGAAGTGCTCTGGTTTGGGGGTTGGCAGTTTACTTTCCTCATCAAGGAGATCAAAAATACCATTGGCCTTTGTCTCTATCAAGTCTTTTTAAGCAAAAGAAAACAAAATATATGTATAAGATTTTTTATGCCAAACTGATCAAGATCATTATCCAGTGCATGGGGCTTTGGCTGCAATCAAGGAATTTATTTTCAAAAGAAATTAATGAAATCTTCATTAGCTAAAATACTTTTTTCAATTCCTCCTTTTTTGTCAAATGATGATGGTTTCATATACAAGTTCATTTTACTGACTAGTATAAATATTTGTAATATAATTCCTATTATAACTTATTAATAACTATACCTATACAGTCCTGGTTGTCTGTCCATGTGATTTTCTTGACATTTAGACCTTCCTTCTCATAAAGAACTTGTTCCTAGAAAAACATATTTCAATTCAACATAAATTTTAGAACAGTTAGACACATCAAAGTAGGACCATTCACTCAATACATGTACACCTTGATCTCAATTATACATGGTGTTTCTCATTTCTTGATTGATTGTAAGCATTTTTTTCTTATGTCCCATTCCAGTATTTTTAATCATATAGAGCCATCTTGTAAACTTAGAGAAGGACATTCATTTCTGGTGATAATATTTGTCAACTTGAAGAGGGAACACTCTTTTACAATGTTTATTTTATACATCAAATCTAAACTTTCAGTGAATGCAGCTGATAATTGGGTGATATTAATTTAGAGGTGAAATCTTCTAGTAACTTAAGCAATAACAAAGCTGCAATGTTTTACATGCAAAAGGCTACATGTACTTAGAAAAATCTTTATATTTTTGCAAAATTTTTATATTTTTACAAGAATTCATGCATGAATCAATGTGTTCATGCATGAATCTGCAATATTTCCTTTTTATTTTATTCTGAGGAAGGGGAGAGAAAGGAGTCCAAATGCGTCCAACCTTTGATATAATATAGTTTTTTTAATTTACAAAAAGGCAAGTTTCTAATTTTCTTCACTTTATATGTTAAAATCCCCATACATTTAACAAAGATTGCATAATTCAAAAAGAATCAAAAGTCAACATTTTTGCACATCTTACTCAGGAAATTAAATATCTTAGACTTAGCCAAGGGGAATTTAAAGGAAGGGAGGCTTAATACCCCCTTGACCATCTCAGAGTCTTAAGATTCATACATTGTTTTCAATTGTGAAAAAGAATGATATACATACAAAAGCATGATTTATTAAAATTGTATACTTCTTTTTGTAAAAATTTGGTTGTTGAATTTTTGTTATAATGTATGAAAATAAGCATAAAAAGGTGTGTCTCATATGGACATTTTAAATAGCTTATGAATTTTTTCATTAAATAACTGCTATTGAAAAAGAAAAATGCAACAAAATTTTTGCTACCTTTATGTGGAGTGTGTCATGAAAGCTGAAGTTTTGAAAGTACACTTTCAGCCAAAAGTTATTTAAAAAGAAATAAATAATCAAATGAATTCACTGTCTACATTCAGTTAGAATTATGATAACAAATATGAAGGAGTTATTATACCTCTTTAAGAATCCTCTCATTGAAGAATTGCTGAAGTTTTTCATTACAGTAGTTGATACAGAACTGCTCAAAGCTGTTTACTTGGAAATACTCTAGAAAACACAACATCATTTCTAATTCACTAGTATGTCAACACAAAAAAGTTAGAAATTTTCTTTTCAAATTAAACCCCTTTCAATTACTTAGTATATAATTATTTAATTCCTATTTTACTCATTAGTATTTTTCTTGCAGATTTTGACATAAAACATTTCAAAATCTAATTACTCTAAATACAGATCAAAGTGGAGATCATTTATTAGTATATTTTGTCAAAATAATTTGATAATATCTGAATTTCTTAAAATAAAGTTTTAACCATTTTTCATGTCAGTTCTAATAGATTTCCTTACCGAACCCAGCAATGTCCAACAGGCCTATGTAGCTAACAGTGGATGAGAATGGAATAGCTTTGTTGACACTGGCCACAATGTAATCAAACAGTCGACTGTAGATGGATTTAGCGAGGGCATCTCGAGCACTCGCAGCTTCCCCAGACTTTAGTGGAACTCTGGAAATAATCAAACAATCATCTAAAGCATAAGACATGATTACATAATTATGCATAATAAGACGTGAATACCTTGAAACGTCTCAAGCCATATTTCGTATAAGTTCCTAAAGCTCTCTCCTATCAGCTTGATAACAAAGTGTTGTAATCATGAATATTTTTGCCCCTTATGATGTGACATCATGTTCAGCCAATAACAATATTGAAATCAACAATTGACATCAGTAAACAAAAAATATGTTAAACAGTGACTGGGTAAAGAAAGGTTGTGTCAAAGTTCATTTCTTGACTATGCTTTTCTCACATTGGTCAATATTTTAATGAGGTATAAAAGTATTCTCTTCAACCACAGCTGGAATGGGAGAGAATCATACATTTTGGTTGTGGTTTGCGACAATGATACTTTATACAATATAACAAAACTTTTGTTTGGGTACTATAATTTTTTCACCTCTTAAGGGACTCCAACTCTCAGCCAGGAAGGACAACTCTTTAATTTATCTAATTTAATTCAAAAAGCCTTAAATGAAGCTTGAAATTATATTTTTCTAGGGGGTTCAGGTAACCCGACTTTGCTATGTAATTGTGCCATTTAAACGCAATTTATTGGTGTTTATAAACGTGAATTTTGCATTATTATTTATAATTTATCTAGAAATTAAATATAATGATTTTTTCTACATTGTTTTAACTTTCGTATGATGTGTGTTTTATGTCATTCTGAAAAGTTTGTATTAAAAAATTACCGGGTCGAAGTTGTGCTAAAATTGGATACAGGGTTTTCCCTTTTATACATGGCACTGTAATTTTGTCTCCGCGACGTTGATAGCGTCATTTTGATTGGATTTCCGGGAGGCGATTTTTAAGGAATTAACGAAATTGACCTATCATAGGAAAGCTTACATTTTGAAGATTAACATTGTTATTGTTGCATCTTGATGCAATGTGCAGAAGTTTATGTATGTTCGTTTCAAAGGAAAGAGGTCAATTTTACTACGGTAAGTAATCGAAATATTTTTATGCAACATACACTATTAGAAAGCTGAGAAAATTTCCTATCACAATATTGTGGTTCTGTAATCATCTCGGAAAATAATTCACCCGGATTTCATTCAAAAGACGTCAACCCGATGCAACTTTTGAACAGTTTCTAAGTACCTTTAAATTCATGCACACTTTTGTATCGTAAAACGTGAGATTAAATAATTTTAGACATTGGAAAAAAAAATCTATGAAAACTGTGATTATTTCCTACTATATAACATATACAGGGACCTATATATATGCTAGTTAACGATCCCTGATATAAAATTAATGTACAAATTTGATTCTGCAGCCTGGATTTCCTCTGAATTTTGAAATACTGTCTGTATAATAAATGAATAACCCGAAGTTCAAATGTGATAAAAGAAAATATTTCTTCATTGTTTTACTTATAACTATGAAATATTTATAATTTTGTTTGTGAACATGATACTTTGTGGTTTAATTTTTTTTCAGTGAGTATATACAGTTAGACTTCGGGAAAGTGCTAGAATCATTCCATATCATGATTATGGTACCCGCCTGCGGCCGGTAGTAGCAGAAGTCTGAGAGAAATTAACACTCAACTTTTCAAGGAAGCATGGATAATATATACAATGATTGATTGAAACCGAAATTTGATATCATGTATTTTAAAGATCTATGTTAATTTAAAAATAAAGTTGTGAATTAATTGTAGTAAATTCTTTTTTCCCATTTTTTGCCATTTTCATAATATTGACATCTTTCTTCTTTGCAATGTCAAGACAGAACTCTTAACTTTTAGTGACCATATTTTATTACGATCCTTATTTTAATAAATCTTTTAAAAGTAATAAATTGTAAATAATTCATAAAATTTCATTATTTATTCTTAACTCACCTGATTTTGAAAGTATGTTTTTAATAAGACTGTATCGACCATTTTTACTATTGGCGGCCATATTGGATATTTTGCCGCCATCTTGGATATTTTTTAGCTGACATGAAAACAGAAAATTAGGGCTTGCATAGACCTTTCCGAAAATATATAGTTTGCCCTACTTCTAGATAAAATTAGACACTATCCTTTAAAAAATACCTAGATTTAACGGGTTTTTCTTTCTTTTATTGTGCCATCATTTAGTACTCGTATGTATAGAAATTTTCTTACATAAAATAGCAGTACTCACAACATTGATAATTTCATAACTTCTGTTCTACTTGGAATTTTTTCACCAAGTAAAGTTTTTTATATTTCTAAATGTGTCCATGTTTGTTCTAGAATATATTTAATTGAAAATATTTTACCGAAAATTTATTCCTGAACCCCCTAATTTTTCAGACAATAATTTTCATCATATGCCTCTCAATGTGCTTCAAGGTTCTTTGCAAAGCTCCATGAAATCACTTCTAATTTCATATCATTTTAAATAAATAAACATTGGTATATTAAAATGCTTTCATGCTATAAAATTTCTACTTTTAATCAGACCTTTCTGAGAAATTCAAAGAACTGTGAAGCACATTGAGAGGCATATAATGAAAATTGTTGCATAAAAATATTTAATTTTCAAACTTCATTTAAAGACTTTTTGAATTAAATAATAAATTAAAGAGTTATCCTTCCTAGCTGAGGGTCAGAGTCCCTTAACAACAATCCTCAATATCATAAGTGTGCATTAGAGCCTCACAAATATGGCTTGTCAATTTGTTGTGATCATTCAATAAGATTTTAATCCTTCCAAGAAATACTAGACACATTTTTATCATTACCAACCTGACAGTGTGTATATAATTTGATGAATTTTCAAGAAATGTCCTAATTCAACAAAATAAAAAAACCACAACGATTACAATCAAGAGACAATTTACTGTCACTGTTTATCTTAAAATAAAGTTTGATGACCACGTTTGGAGTGTGGAACATTAAATAAAGTTATCAGATGATCACATTGGAATATATTTAAGATATAAATTAGTAAACCTTTTCAATTCAAACATTTAAAGCAGTCTAAATATAAACTATTTTTTAAATTAAATCAGTGTCTGCTCATTGTTTTATTACTCTGTGAATGTTGAGTAATTTTTTATAAAGTTAAAAATTTGAATGAGTTGCATTGATTTTTTGTGTCAGAGTCATTTTAATGCATTGTTCAGTCAATACAAACTGCAGACTTTAAACCTTTAAACACCTTTAGATCACCAAAGATACCATGTACAAATAGATCACAAAGACTTTAGTTTATAACAGGGGTTAACAGCACAGGAGTTGACTACACAGTTGGAATTTACATCATACCTGTACCAAGTGAGGCTTTTTTTTTTTTTTTTTATAATTTCTTAATCTATTTTTTCATGATACCAATTAACTCCTGATTTAAAAATTTACCCAATCAAAAATATGAGCTATAATGAGAGGTTTATAATTCAATTTTTCTAGGGAAATTTGGTACATCAAAACTCCAATGGACCCACGGCTCAGTGCCCAAGATGTCCTGTGCTGTGACCTGTGTGAGACTCCTGTTCCTCCAATGTACTGTGACTTTTGTCATGTTAAACTCTGTAAGGCTTGTGTAGGGGAGCATCTCTCTGATTTATCTAAAGAACATAAAGTGGTGCCATACAAACAAAAGGGAACTACACCTATATGTCCCACCCATGCTGGAAAACTTTGTGAACTTCACTGTAAGGAATGTGTCATCCCAGTGTGTTCACTTTGTGTATCAGACAAACATAAAGGACACACATTCATGGGCATTGTTCAGATATTTAATGACAAAAAGGAAGAAATGAAAAATGATATTCAAGAATTAGAAAAGTGTTTATGTCCTAGATATGAAGAGATTACATCAGAAATGATTGCTGAAAAATCAGTCCTTGATGGAAAGTATGGGAAACTGACAACAGCTGTCACCAAACATGGAGAAGACTGGCACAGAGAAATTAACATCATTGTCAACAAACAGAAATCTGAAATTGATGAGATGAAAACTAAACACCTGGCTGCTCTAAATGAACAGGAAAAAGAAATAAAAAAAATTACTTCTGAAGTGAAACAGTGCATAGTTGATCTGAAGAAAATACTGGACTCCAATGATATCTCCCTAACCTCTGCATACAAATCCAGGAATACTGAATTCAGAAGTTTACCTCCTAAAGTCAACGTATCATTACCAAGTTTCTCTCCTAATCAGATCAACACAAAACAGCTCCATCAAATGTTTGGTTCTCTGTCAGCATTATCCATTACAACAGAAAAACATGGCTATGCAATGAAAACACCAGTAGCTGTATCCTGTCCTCCAGTCAAACCACTGCTTGATCAACCAAAGCTCATCACCATCATAGACACTGGGTATGACCGACTATTCAGTGTTACCTGTCTCAGTGATGAAGAAATCTTGACAAAAGGAGATGCCACAATCATGAAACTCTACAACCTCCAGGGCAAACTACTGAAGTCAATCAAAACCAAGTCTGGGAACTCACCAGAGGACGTAGCAGTGACAAGGAGTGGAGATCTAGTTTATACTGACTGTAATACAAGAACTGTGAACATGGTGAAGAATAAACAGATACAGGAAGTGATCAGACTAAAGGGGTGGAGACCTTACAATGTCTGTAGTACCTCCTCAGGTGACTTCCTGGTTACCATGAACAGTGATGATGGAGAACAATCAAAAGTCATCTGTTACTCTGTCCGTTATTCTGGCTCCACAGAGAAACAAACCATTCAGTTTGATAGTGAAGGTAAACCTTTGTATTCATCTGGTAACTATATTAAATTCATCAGTGAGAACAGGAACCTAGATATTTGTGTGGCTGACTGGAGAGCTTCTGCAGTAGTGGTGGTTAACCAGGCAGGAAAACTCCGTTTTCGATACACTGGTCATCCCTCTACTACCAAGAGAATTTTTGATCCACGCGGCATCACAACAGACAGCCATAGTCAGATCCTGATAGCCGACCATTCTTACAACTGTATCCACATCCTAGATCAGGACGGACAGTTCCTCCGTTACATTGATAACTGTGATCTACAGTCTCCATGGGGTTTATGTGTGGACACCAGAGATAACCTCTTTGTGGCTGAGTGTTACAGTGGTAAAGTGAAGAAAATCAAATACATGTAGACAATGTATTTTCGAATAAAAAAAATCAGAAAATGATACATGAATGTATATTTAAAACACCAAATATCAAAAAATAAAAATTGTCAATTGATTTCTTCAATATGCATGCAGTTTTGTTAATTCTGTCTATAGGATTAAAATGCATTTAAAGAATGAATCGTTTAAGTGTCCAAATCTGGCCCCTCGATAATTTACAAAAAATATAATTTAAAAAGATTTCCTATACATATAATTGCCTCAATCTTTCCATCAAACTTTGTAGTTTATTGATTTAAATTTCAATTTTTAATTCCATGCGCTGTAATTAGGTATTTATCTGATTAATATAGCAGGGGTATGTTGTTTACATCGATTTCTCATAGACTTTACGCCAAATTTTTATATGAGCGCATGGATGTTTCAAGTTGCTGTAAATACGCTCAATGTAAAGAGATAAAATAGTCAATTCGTGAAAGAAATTGAAACAGTCTTGTTTTCATATATTATTTTCAAAAAAAGTCTAAATTCACGGATAGTTGTCTCTATAGTAAAGGCACCTTGTTTACAAATTTCAACCTGCTTTGACCTCATGAATAACAAAGCACTGAACACGTGACTCAAATCTATTCACCTTCGCGCTTTCATCACATTTATGCGACATTGTGTACAAGTGTCCGCGAGCTATGGATGGTCAAATAATTTTCAGATGGCTTATTGAAAATTCTGGGTGAAATTCTTTATTTAGAAATGTTAAGATTTTTAAATTGTTATTAAATGCTATTTCAGTCGATTTTGTTTGATTTATTTTGGTACCATTCACAATATGCCTTTGTCTCTAATATACATCAGTGCTATGTTTATTGACTCTTGAGAGACAGAAAAAGATTTTTATTTCAGTTACAACTTTCATAAATTTCATTGATCGTCATTTGAAAAACACTTAATATTATTAATCTTATCTTTAGAAAATAAACTATTTGGTACAAGTGCACAAATGCATAATTCCAGTTGAGAAACATTAAGGGGAAGAAATTGAAATACGGAGCGCTAAAAGACATACATATAGCGGATAAAAAGTCACTAGAAGAAAACATTTACACAATTGAATACTCAGTTTGAGTTTATTTAGACATATTTCCCATTTATTACTATTAGTATGTATATTGGGATGTGTCCTAATTTATGACCTTGAGTTTTGGTGAGAGTTATCTGCCCCTTTTTTAATTAATAAAAAAATCAATTAAAAAAAATTTAGACGTAAAAAAATTGTTTTTAATTGCCATTCTATTTTTAATGTTTCAGTGCATCTTTCCACCACAGGATTTATTGATATTCAAATTATTTTGAAAAAAAAAACGTTTTTCCCCATAGACTTCAATGCAATCTTTGTTGATTAACAACTGCTTAATTAATAACATTTTTAAAACTTTCTCGCTGGCAATCCTTTTCCGCTATAAGATCCTTTAATATAATATCAGTGTATTATATACTTGACAGACATTTAAGGGTAGGGAATTAGGTCCCATTAGGGATGGAAATCCTTAAAATCAAAAAGTACAAAAAAGAATTTCAACAATTATTGAATTCATATATATAAAGAAGACCAAAATTAACTTTTCTGGCAAGAATAAACAGGATTTAGTTCAAAGCAATATATTAATGTAATCTCAACTGTACTATTTTGTTTGGTCTCCAGCACATAATAAGAGGGTTTTTACATGTCAGTTATTCATAAAGCTTAGTACATCTCGAACACACTAATGTATTCACACTAATCGCATGCTTGATAGACCCCAGCCCTCTCAAATAATATAATGACCTACAAAGCTGTAATGGCTAAGCGGGTTTTTACAGTGAAGTATATAATTTTATTTATTCAATATCATGTATATATTGAAAGTCTCTTTCCCAATAAATCTTTTATGAGTATTTATACAGACTATACTTGAGGACTTTAGCTAATTAATATGACAATGTTATAACTTGAAAAGGTAAAATTCTGCATTGAAAAGGGGCGAGAAAGCAGAGTTATAAAGATTCATTCTTTACATTTTATTCTGAACTTGATTTCAATTTCCACATGTAATCTATGCAAGAATTGACTGTAAACTTGTGATGAAAGTTTAATCAGGTATTATGCTTGTTATACTAAAGCTTTTTTGGGATGTCACATATCTTTGTTGATCATGTGATGGTCACTAATGGTTTTTTTAATGTTCTTTACGTATGGATACTTAATGGCAAGTTTGCTTGAAATAGGCCCAGTGGTTCTTGGGATGAAGTCCAAATGTGAAATTTACAGACGGACCCACAGACTGTCGTACAGATGGACACCAGGCAAAATAAGATCAGAAAAGTTCACTTGAGCTAAGGTGAGCAAAAAAAAAAGAAATTCAATCTTCTTAAATCAGAAATATATATAACAAGAGGCCCATGGGCCACATTACTCATCTGAGTAACTTGGGTGATGCAGTTCTTTACCAGATTTCCCCTCTTGCTATACCTATTGTGCCCCCTACCCCCTCTCCATTAATAATTTAAATAATTTGGAATCTACACCACCCCAAGGATGCTTCCACATAAGTGTCAGCTTTCCTGGCCCGAGAGAAGAAGATTTTTTAAAAATTTGATCTGTACATTTCTATGTAAAACTTGGATTCCCTATTGTGGCCCTGTCCTACCCCCGGGGGTCATGATTTTTACAATTTAATATCTACACTACCAAAGGATGCTTCCACATAAGTTTCAGTTTTCCTGGCCCAGTGGTTCTTGAGAAGAAGATTTTTTTTTAAAATTTGTTCTATATATTTCTATGTTAAAATTGGATTTCCTATTGTGGCCCCGCCCTACCCCTGGGGTCATGATTTTAAGAATTTAATATCTACACTACCCAAGGATGCTTCCACATAAGTTTCAGCTTTCCTGGCCAAGTGGTTCTTGAGAAGATTTTTTTAATGACCCCACCCTATTTTTGTCTTTTCTTGATTATCTCCCCTTGTAAGGGGGGTACTCCCTTCATTTTCACAATTTAAACTCCCCTTCACCCAAGGATGCTTTGTACCAAGTTTGGTTAAAATTGGCTCCTTGGTTCTTGAGAAGAAGTCAAAATGTGAAAAGTTTACAGACAGACAGACGGACAGACGACGGACAAAAAATGTGATCAGAAAAGCTCACATGAGCCTTTGGCTCTGGTGAACTAAAATTAAACTTGACTTCCAGTACAAAATCTTACTAGGCATTTTTAAGCAGCTTAATTATAAGGAAATATTTGCATTCCATGTATCAATCAAAATCAAAAATTTCATGCACTGCCAGATTTCTGATTTCACAAATATTCAGAAACATTCTCAGCAAAACAATTTATCATACTAAACTGTGGCAATTTCAAACTCACAAAGAATCATATGCCATCATTACCTCAATGTGAAATTGGAAATATTTGAATTTGATTTTTCTGATCCTGGTACAGTATTTTCTGTAAATCACTTTTTATTAAGGAAGGCAACTTGTAACCGGTTAACCAATTACGGATAAAGCAAAGTAATTTCACAAGTCCCAGTCACTTCATTATAACCGAGTTTTACTGTAACATGTATAAGAAGTAAACACTGGTCTTGACTTACTTAATGGCTGTGCCTTTAGATCCGCCCCTGGCTGTCTGCATGATCCTAGTGGTCAGACTTTCTTGTAGCTCCTCCTTATTCAGACCCAGCAGTGTGGAGGCCGTGGACAGAGAGGTCTCTGATGATGACCCCACCTTACAACCACCTGTTGTATAATATATAATATACAATTAATTCAGACCCAGCAGTGTGGAGGCCGTGGACAGAGAGGTCTCTGAAGATGACCCCACCTTACAACCACCTGTTGTATAATATATAATATACAATTAATTCAGACCCAGCAGTGTGGAGCCAGTGGACAGGGAGGTCTCTGATGAGGACCCCACCTTACAACCACCTGTTGTATAATATATAATATACAATTAATTCAGACCCAGCAGTGTGGAGGCCGTGGACAGAGAGGTCTCTGAAGATGACCCCACCTTACAACCACCTGTTGTATAACATACAATATACAATTAATTCAGACCCAGCAGTGTGGAGGCCGTGGACAGAGAGGTCTCTGAAGATGACCCCACCTTACAACCACCTGTTGTATAACATACAATATACAATTAATTCAGACCCAGCAGTGTGGAGGCCGTGGACAGAGAGGTCTCTGAAGATGACCCCACCTTACAACCACCTGTTGTATAACATACAATATACAATTAATTCAGACCCAGCAGTGTGGAGGCCGTGGACAGAGAGGTCTCTGAAGATGACCCCACCTTACAACCACCTGTTGTATAACATACAATATACAATTAATTCAGACCCAGCAGTGTGGAGGCCGTGGACAGAGAGGTCTCTGATGAGGACCCCACCTTACAACCACCTGTTGTATAACATACAATATACAATTAATTCAGACCCAGCAGTGTGGAGGCCGTGGACAGGGAGGTCTCTGAAGATGACCCCACCTTACAACCACCTGTTGTATAACATACAATATACAATTAATTCAGACCCAGCAGTGTGGAGGCCGTGGACAGGGAGGTCTCTGAAGATGACCCCACCTTACAACCACCTGTTGTATAACATACAATATACAATTAATTCAGACCCAGCAGTGTGGAGGCCGTGGACAGGGAGGTCTCTGATGATGACCCCACCTTACAACCACCTGTTGTATAACATACAATATACAATTAATTCAGACCCAGCAGTGTGGAGGCCGTGGACAGAGAGGTCTCTGAAGATGACCCCACCTTACAACCACCTGTTGTATAACATACAATATACAATTAATTCAGACCCAGCAGTGTGGAGGCCGTGGACAGAGAGGTCTCTGAAGATGACCCCACCTTACAACCACCTGTTGTATAACATACAATATACAATTAATTCAGACCCAGCAGTGTGGAGCCAGTGGACAGGGAGGTCTCTGATGACGACCCCACCTTACAATCACCTGTTGTATAACATACAGTATACAATTAATTCAGACCCAGCAGTGTGGAGGCCGTGGACAGAGAGGTCTCTGATGAGGACCCCACCTTACAACCACCTGTTGTATAACATACAATATACAATTAATTCAGACCCAGCAGTGTGGAGGCCGTGGACAGAGAGGTCTCTGATGATGACCCCACCTTACAACCACCTGTTGTATAACATACAATATACAATTAATTCAGACCCAGCAGTGTGGAGGCCGTGGACAGAGAGGTCTCTGATGATGACCCCACCTTACAACCACCTGTTGTATAACATACAATATACAATTAATTCAGACCCAGCAGTGTGGAGGCCGTGGACAGAGAGGTCTCTGATGACGACCCCACCTTACAACCACCTGTTGTATAACATACAATATACAATTAATTCAGACCCAGCAGTGTGGAGGCCGTGGACAGAGAGGTCTCTGAAGATGACCCCACCTTACAACCACCTGTTGTATAACATACAATATACAAAGAAAGAAAAAGTGAGCTAGCTCACATACCCCACGCTCCCCCAAAACTTGACGGTGAAGCACATAATGAAGGGCACAGTGCACTTTAAATACATAGTATAGATCAAAAAGGGCAATAATTGCAAAAAATCTTCACATCAAAATGTCTTACATATGAGGGCATTTAAATGTGGAATGAAGTTCTAGATAAATAATGGAATCAAAATTTCTTGGCATTATACAAATCCAAACATTAATTTGAAGTGGTTGGGGGGGGGGGGGGGAGAAATTTTCTTGAATAATAGGCAAAACTCTTTGGGATAAAATAAACTATGTACAACAGTTTAAGAGGAGTGGCACTGACAAACTGTTCATCTCTATATTCTAAATATGGCCAAAAAGTCTAAGTTGGAAAGTGTGGAAATTTCCGGAAAAATAATGGAATCGGAATTTCCTGGTAATATGCACATCTACACATTGTGTCCTAAATACCTGCAAAGTTTGACGAAATTCTGTGCAGCGGTTTATGAGGAGTTGCGCTGACAATCTGTTCATATCTATATTCAAGGTATGGCCAAATGCCTAAGTTAAAAAGTGCGGAAATTCCCGGAAAAAATAATGGAATCGGAATTTCCTGGTAATATGCACATCTACACATTGTGTCCTAAATACCTGCAAAGTTTGACGAAATTCTGTGCGCCGGTTTATGAGGAGTTGCGCTGACAATCTGTTCATATCTATATTCAAGGTATGGCCAAATGCCTAAGTTAAAAAGTGAGAAAATTCCCGGAAAAATAATGGAATCGGAATTTCCTGGTAATATGCACATCTACACATTGTGTCCTAAATACCTGCAAAGTTTGACGAAATTCTGTCCAGCGGTTTATGAGGAGTTGCGCTGACAAACTGTTCATATCTATATTCAAGGTATGGCCAAATGCCTAAGTTAAAAAGTGAGAAAATTCCCGGAAAAAATAATGGAATCGGAATTTCCTGGTAATATGCACATCTACACATTGTGTCCTAAATACCTGCAAAGTTTGACGAAATTCTGTGCAGCGGTTTTTGAGGAGTTGCGCTGACAATCTGTTCATCTCTATATTCAAGGTATGGCCAAATGCCTAAGATAAAAAGTGCGGAAATTCCCGGAAAAAATAACGGAATCGGAATTTCCTGGTAATATGCACATCTACACATTGTGTCCTAAATACCTGCAAAGTTTGACGAAATTCTGTCCAGCGGTTTATGAGGAGTTGCGCTGACAAACTGTTCATCTCTATATTCAAGGTATGGCCAAATGCCTAAGTTAAAAAGTGAGAAAATTCCCGGAAAAAATAATGGAATCGGAATTTCCTGGTAATATGCACATCTACACATTGTGTCCTAAATACCTGCAAAGTTTGACGAAATTCTGTCCAGCGGTTTATGAGGAGTTGCGCTGACAAACTGTTCATCTCTATATTCAAGGTATGCCCAAATGCCTAAGTTAAAAAGTGCGGAAATTCCCGGAAAAAATAATGGAATCGGAATTTCCTGGTAATATGCACATCTACACATTGTGTCCTTAATACCTGCAAAGTTTGACGAAATTCTGTGCAGCGGTTTATGAGGAGTTGCGCTGACAAACTGTTCATATCTATATTCAAGGTATGGCCAAATGCCTAAGTTAAAAAGTGCTAAAATTCCCGGAAAAAATAATGGAATCGGAATTTCCTGGTAATATGCACATCTACACATTGTGTCCTAAATACCTGCAAAGTTTGACGAAATTCTGTCCAGCGGTTTATGAGGAGTTGCGCTGACAAAAAAAGAGGACTGACTGACTGACGGACTGACTGACTGACTGACTGACGGACGGGTCAAAAACATTATACCTCCAGCAACTAGTTGCGTGGGGTATAATTAATTCAGACCCAGCAGTGTGGAGGCCGTGGACAGAGAGGTCTCTGATGATGACCCCACCTTACAACCACCTGTCAAGGTCATTACATTGTAAATTCAGTACATATGACTTCGTCACACAGCTAATCATTGAATAAATGCTAAATAAAAACTTATGGAATCAAAGCTCACTTCGACAAAGGTTATCAGTTTAAGAAATGCCAATCTCATATCATATTTTGTTATCAGTTAGTATTTATTCTGAAAACAATATTTAACCATATTCTGTTTAAATAGTCTAAAAGTTCATTTGGATTGATCTATTCCAAAAACTTTAACATGATCACTCATCTGGAAAATTTAGGTTAGACCAGCATCAGAAGCAAGTCTGGAAGTGTACATTGCAAGATGCATCATCCTTGCAAGTTTGGTCTGGGTAGGGTTTAAAGTTACTTGGGAATGGACCTGCTCCAAAATCTTGAACCTGGTCAATTATCTGGAAAATGTAGGTAAGATCAAGCATCCAAAGCAAGTCTGGTAGTGTCTATCCCTACATGCATCATTCAAGCAGGTTTGGTTCGGGTAGGACTTGTAGTAACTTTGGAATGGACCTGCTCCTAAAACTTTAAACTGGTAACTCATCTGTAAATTGTAGGTCAGATCCAGCATTCGAAGCAAGTCTGGAAGTGTAAATCCCAAAATGCATCATCCATGCAAGTTTGGTCCGGGTAGGGCTTATAGTTACTTGGGAATGGACCTGCTCCTAAAACTTTAAACTGGTCATTTATCTGCAAAAATGTAGGTCAGATCCAGCATCTGAAGCATGTCTGGTAGCTAGTGCCCAACCCTAGATGTATCAGCCATGCAAGTTTGGTCCAAGTAGGGCTTATAGTTACTTCAGAATGGACCTGCTTCAAAAACTCTAACCTGGTCACTCATCTAGAAAATGTAGGTCACATCCAGCATCCTAAGCAAGGCTGGTAGTGTCCATCCCTAGATGCATCATCCATGCAAGTTTGGTCGAGGTAGGGCTTATCGTTACTTGGGAGTGGACCTGCTCCTAAAACTTTAACAGGGACACCAATGCTAATGCCAACACCGCCACCGGGGGTATAGCATAAGCTTATCTTGACTTAGTCAAGGTGAGCTAAAATTTCTTTTGTTTTTTTATTGACATTATAGAAAATGATCATGATGAGAAAATTTTTAAGATTTTTTCCTGTACATTTTGCTTTTTTCTATTTTGACTTCATGCTATGGAGATTTTAACAATTTGATTTTTCACTACCTTTATGAGGGACAATGCTTTTATATATTTCCTATGACTAATAATGGCCCTGCTTTTTCGAGAGGAAGAGGAAGGATAATTGCCCTTGCATGTACCCACAATAGGTTAAATGTATGCAAGAGCAGAGATGAAATTGAATTTAAACCAATAAGTTTACTCACCTTTAGTATCGTCCATATTTTCCTCAAACATGATGTTCCCTAGGTGTAGGACTGAGGCCACTAGAGTGTAGATAGAGTGTTTGTCCTCGTTAGAGACCCCCAGGTGAGTCATGGCGCTGTCACACACCTGGAAATCTCGGACATCGTCCAGGACAGGGTCGTGGAGACTGCCCTGCTTAAGGTACTGAAAACAGAGGGAAGGGTAAAATGTCATACCGCAGTCAAACAGTCTGGCTTATAACTAACTTAAGTCTTAATTTGCAGTCAAGTAAAGGGGAAAATGTCAAAGGAAAGAGGTTGCTTATATATGTAAATGTTTTGTAATCAATTTCCACTACATGTCCTAGACAAATAATTATTGAAACTCATGGTTACTATATCATATGCCTGGCTCCAGGGTCATAAAATTTAGACAAGCTCACCTTGGATCTCACTCTCACTTTACTTCAGTCTATATATTCGACATATAAATTATGTATTTTGTAAAAGTGTTTGTTGTCAAATTAAAAAAAATATTCATAATTTTTTCATCTCGATATACAAAATCAGTATCAAAATTTCATGTTTTCTTTCATATTTCCACTACAAACATTTTGAATTGAAAAAGCTGAGAGTAAGAAACACTGAATTTTTTGTATAAATGTGTACAATTTCATTTCAAACGTATTGTGTTCCTCTTTGTACGTACCATCTGACTTTTTCGGTCCTTCCCCAGTTTCTTGTCGTTTTCCCGGGTACAGAAGTACTGTGTACAACCTCTGTTTAAATACTACAGCAAAACAAGGATATACAATACCAAACATCATGGATAATACAGTACAATGATTCTAACCATGGTAAAATATTACAATGGAGAAATGCAGGGTCATCCCACAGATACAATACAATATACAAAATTCATCCTTCTTATAAAATATATATATTAAATAAATCACAAACTTCAAAATTTTTTTCACAGTGCCTTTGAAGGATTTAAATTCTTGTTTTATTTCATGTTACTTATGACATTTTTGGGGGGTGGGGGTTGTCCTATCAACTTTGACATATTTACTTTGCATAATTACTATAACAAAAAAATCAATGACTTTCTATGGTCAAAAATTGATACAGTACCAATCATAATATATAACTGGTAGGGGGATTCTCTATTGAAAGGGACATGTATATGCTTTTGATTCTTAAACTCATTAAAAACTGAACAATTGGGTATTTGACATTCAACTTCTATCATGGTCATGCAAATTCAAATGTAAACATATTTTAACTAATATCAAATTTCTAAGTTGGGAGTGGGGACACAGACCACATAATTACAATCTTACATGGAATTGGTCGGGTGAGGCCAGTTTTAGTTGATTGCGTAGATCCTCCGGAGCTCCGGCACAGAGTCGGTAGAAGATGTGGTAATTCCGCTCCTCGCGACTCTGACTTATCACGCGCGACTTCTCCAGTAGATAATGGGAGATAAATCCTCCGGCTACCAAGTTCTGTAAACAAAAAAACAGTTTCAGAAAAATTAACATGAACTTCCTGGATCATTAAATTCAAATTTAAACATTAAAGAAAATTTAGGATACCTTGGAAATGCTGACGAATATGCCTAAATTTGTTCCATAAAATGAATTTAAATTTATATGACCTAAAATCAATGCATTGTTATAATCTAAGACTCATTTGCATTATAGCTGTTCTGAAATAAGACTGATAAAACCATTTTAATTAAGATTGCTATATCAGGCTATATTTGAAGATAGACTCTGTTTATTATATGTACAGACGTATGTATATATTGCATGCCCATGCTTTCATACTATTGTAATATGAACTGTTATATGCACTGTATTAATTAACATCAACAAATATCTACATGTTGCCATTACAATCTTCATCTCCTGAAATCAAAGCAATGGATATTTATCTTCAATGGCTACTTTTCATTTATAGGCTACTTGTAATAACCATACATTTCAAGTGAATTTTTTAAAACAAATTTAGCTATTTGTCCCCATAAATATGCATTTTCTTTTATGAAGAAGCATTCTAGTAATTTCATTATCCCAAAAATTGTTTTTTTTGTATGTTAATGTTTATTGTCCTTCTCAAGAATATGTCACTCATACGGAGACGTCATTGTTTGCCGGTGGAGAACTGCAAATTTCAACCTATACTCGGCACTCAGGACCATTGAGCAGGGAGAGATCTTTTTCTTGCCATCCCCAATTGTGACACAGGAGCTCAGTTTATATGGTCTTATCTGAGGGACTGGTCTCCACGTCCCACAGTGGGATTCGAACCAGTGATGTAAGGATCAACTCTTTATATTGCGACCATAGAGCAGATGCTTTAACTACTGTGCCACTAATACCTTATATTTCTGTTTACCTCCATGATAATAAAATTAATTGAAACAATGTAATCATATCCATTTTCGTGACCTCAACATCCTCACTAAATTTTCTGCTTACACTGTAAAATACTTTTCTATTTAAAAAAAAGAAAGAAATCTAACTAGAAATAATTCAAGTTAGTCATGGTATGTAAAAAAGAAAAGTGAGTGTACTATCAAGTAACTACCATAATACTGCACCTCTTTTACATGTATAGCTTGTAAAATATCGGAATGTGAATACATGTATTACTAAAAGTGCCTAAATCAACGCAAAACACAGTTAAGTGAACTGAAACAAACTACACTAAGAAACACATTTATAACATATTTTCAGCCTCTAGAAACATCAAAAATCAATCAGTTTTTTTTATATTATATAGAACATGTATCTAACTTTCGGTTAATTTCTCATTATTTTGTACAAAGAAGGACAAAAACTGTGTGTTAATCAGACACAAATATTCACTCCATGCCTGTCTGTGACTCAGTGGTGATCGATCCTTTAACTATACTTACATCTTTACATGACTGTTTATAAAATTATTACACATATCAGTTAGAAAATATTCACATAAAGTCTTACAACCAACTTTATTAAAAGAGATGCCAGGCATGAAAAATAAGTCAATTTCTAAATAAACTTTATCAGTAAACCTTTAGATGTAAACTAAAACATCTTATTTTGATTCTCCTATTTGATAAGAATTGAGTATTTCTATATATTCTAAAGTACATATCTATGATGTGTACCAGTAATGATCTTGTTTTCACTATAGCAGTGTAAGAGTTATTCCCCTTTATGGAGAATGATCTAATGCTGAAGTATTGAGCTAGCTATCAAATAAATTTCCTGACTGAAAAATGTACATTTGATTTATACATGTATGTTGTCTTGCTAATTTTGAACTCTACAGACTGAAATAATTCTTGAGCTTAGTAACGCACAAAGGACATTCAAAAATTACTAAGAACATAAAATCTGTATTGAAGTGGGAGGGGCGACTAGGAAACAATTGACATGTCAAGCAAAACTTTGACCAGCAAAAAACCCTGAGCTTGATTTTGTACCATGGAGTAAAAGGACAAACTGAAAAACATCACATTTGTTAAGAAATTGATGATTTGATCATTTATATGAAATCCTAAAGAATCTGTTGTTTATTTTAAAATGACAACAGAGCTTATGAAAAAAAAATGTTCACAAACATTTACAAATATAAAATGTTATCATTATTAAACTTCTACTATCATAAACTTGTTTTATCCCTGTCAAATGTGCCTTGCTATTCAGCTTGTCCATGTGTAATTTTTGAATGACCCTTGTACAACTGCTAGGAGAGTAAAGAGAAATCACTTTCACCAGAAAATTTAACTCTAATTATTAATGTTGATGTCTATATAAATGCTACATGATGTACTAGGTCATCTTTAAAAATTGTTAGGTTGCCCTCTCCAAACCGACTAACTAAAAATGCCCCGACTCTTTTAATTCACCCCTCCCCCCTCCTATCCTGTCAACAGATAAGTTAATATTTTCTGGAAAGAAAAAAATTTTCCCACCTAACTACTGAAGAATTAATTGTACCCTGGGTTGGGAGAGGTCAAATCAACCTTATTCAAAGATGTCCCTATATATATTAATACAGAAATAATACATGTTCACTCCAAAGATTAGACTAGATATAATATAATATATAAAGTAGTATATAAGTATGAAACTCAAGCCTTCACACCAATACATACTTGTTGTTTCATGGCCTGAAAAATAACAGGTAGTACTAAAAAAGCTGCAGTGGTTAATTTAGATATATTTACAAATTAATTGAAGCACATTTAACATTTTTTTTTTAAATCATTTATTTTTTTTTTACAGTTTGATGCTAGAACTTTTTTACACCAGTTAAATTTCCCAGAAGTCAAAACATTATTTCTACATCTATTACGAAATCATGTTAATTTTTTTAATAAATAATCATCATTTTTTTAACATTTCAAAGTTCAACAAAATTTTTTCTTGATTTTTTTTTTTCAAATCAACCCTAAACAATCCTTCTCACTCACTACTTAGTTTGATAAAAAGAAGACCACAGTCTCTCAGTCACCAAAAGTATATAAATACCATACCTTGTTGTCAAAATGAATTTCGATGAATTTTCCGAATCGACTACTGTTGTTGTTTCTTACAGTCTTAGCATTACCAAAGGCCTCCAGCAAAGGGTTAGCTGTAAAGGGAAAGGTTAAGTTCAATATAATAAACACCAACTTTCAAGCAGGTCAATTTAATTAAAAGATGAGCATTTTCAAGACTTTAGCAGTTTTAAAGAAGTATGAATACATGTATTTTTAAATAAATTAATACACAGTTTCTTCCCTTAAATCACTTTTTAGATCTGAGAGCTCTTATTTACATCCAGAAATGAATTCAGTAAAACTCTGATATGACAAAGTCACATCTGAGTTACCCCTCCTCCACTATATAAATTTGAGTCCCTCATCCCTGAACTCAATCAACGAGGTAATCTTATGTTAGACTTCTTAATGTCATGACATAAATAATCTCTATACACTGATTTGAACATGTCATGAGATTAAATAATCTCCAGACTAACTTACCAGTTCTACACTGACTTGTGTGTGAGTTCCACACTAACTCACACTAGAGTTCTAGACTTACACTCCAGTATCCTCTGTTCTACACTTACTTACACTCGAGTTTTACACTGACTTACACTCGAGTATCCTCTGTTCGAGTTGATTGATGTGAGCCCCCCAGGACTCAGTGAGATATTTCAGAATGTACTTGGTGGACTCTGTCTTCCCGGCCCCAGACTCTCCCGAGACAATGATGGACTGACTCATCTTATTCACCTTCATGTCGCGGAACGCCTTGTCAGCTGTAGATAAAAATAGAAACCTTGTTAACAAATATCTCATCTTTTTGATATATTTACTTAGATTGACAAGAAATTACAGAACACCCTGTCAACTGCTGTACAAACAAGAAGTTCTGTTACTAAATATTTATCTATCTGATATATTTACATTAGAAAACAAAAATAAATAAAAAGAAAATCATGCTTAATATTTAAAAAATCGGAATTTATTCTTGATTTAAATGTCAATGAAAATGCAACGTGTTCCAAGAAAGATAACTCTTATCAATAACTTTTTGTTGACTAGAATCCTTCATTAATTTTGAATACAATAGTGAACTCAATGATTCTTTCCTGCATCAAGAATTGAAAGCTAAAAACTACTATTGCCTCAAACACATCATGTGCACTATTTTTTTCAAATAAAAAATAACTTTAAAAATGCATCAAATAATCCAATTGAAATACAATTAAAATAGATGGCAGAAATGAGTGTTGAACAGAATTCTTTACACTTGAAATAAATATAATAAAATTTGTTTGTAACAGAAAAGAGTTATCAAAGGACTGTGAACACGTACCTATTGCGTAAACATGAGGAGGAAGTGTCCCCAGTGACTTCCCTTTGTACTTTTTGATGGTCGCCGAGGTATACAAGTCAGGAATCTCATAGTACGGGTTGATGGCGATCAGGATGTTGGCAGTGTATGTCTGTAAGTAATGATCAATAATCAAACAAAATAATGGCATTCATGTGCAAATATAAACAAATCAGAATTGTTTGTAAAACTTCAAAACTTTGCTGAGGGAGAGGGAATCATGATTGATTTGTTTAGAACTAGTCTTTAATATAATACTTCTTTATTTATTTTATGAATCTCAAACAACAAATTTCAGTGCATGATGAATATGATAGGATAATTATCTTTTTTTTCACATGGAGCTTTATTTGACAAGAAATACCTTAGAGACTTACATAGATCTGGTTTTTCATGTATCGAATTCTCAAGTTGTTCAGGAGAGTGGCTTCATTTAAGTACATAAGAGCACCTACAAAACAAGAGACACCTTTATTGATATTGAAAAAAAATAGGGTAAGTTTTCATAATCTTAATAAAATTAAAGACTTGACGTAGAACATTCACAGTATATCAAATAACATTAAAAGTTATGGTACAGGAATATACTGTAAATGTATTAAATTTAGCGTGTTCGTTATTTGGCGGAAATTAGCTTTTTAATAAGTTAGCGTAGATTTGATTTAGCCCATTTTATCATATTCTTATTTATGTGTATATGTGCAAGACATTTAGCGTTGTACTTAATTTAGCTGTTGCTGCGTTCCGCCAAAGCCGCTAAAAAGAATACACAGCCAAATATAATACGTTTACAGTAATTGATCATATTAAAAGTATATGTGGTACGTTACTCTGTGAAATCTATAAAATCTTGTCTTAAGCTGAGTTGGTAGTGTGGCTTACAAGGTGATATTAATTAAATTAAGTCTAAATTTCAATTTTAATTTACATCTATCTTCTTTAAAACAATAAGAACTTACAGTTGTCATCCACATCTTTGTTATCATATTCCTCGGCAGGAAACGTCCGATCGTAAATAGCATTTATTGTCTACAAAAAAATCAACACACTCTAAGTAGATCGTAAATAGTAAAATATAGCATTGATTATATACAAACAGACAAACAAACAATGCACTTTGTAAGTCATAGAATCATCTTACATTTCAAACTGATAAGTAATAGGGTCTGCTTGAAAATAAAACTAACAGAGTAAGAAAAGGAGCAGATTGGATAAACCAAGCATCTTTACCAAAACTTTCCAGAGACTCTGAATAAAGGGAGATAATTACTAGTTTCCTATTTCCTGTCCCTGGGGCAATGTAATAAAGGATTTATTTTATTGGGACTCCAGAAGAAATTGTCATTTCAATCATCTTTCAATGCTGAATTACTTTTTAATTATACTGTTGATTTGATGATACTACCACTAAATGCTAAATAAATGTGACTACAGGAATGATTTGTAAAAGGTAAGTTCTTTTTTCTAATTTTTTGGTAATCAATTCTTTAGAAAATTATTGGTTCAGCTAATTTAATTTCATATCATCATCTAATCAGAGCTTGATAAAAATACAATTTTTATTAAATTACCCTGGTATGGGCGCATCACAATATAATGAAGGATTTTAATGATTGTACAGACTTGTCCTGTAATACTAACTTACAAAGACAAAACAATGACATTTTTTGATCAATGCACAAAAATGTCCTGTGATAGTAAGGTTGACTTACAGTGCCGGGGGCATCAAATGGTTCTATGGCGATACTGTCGCTCCCGATGTCCACGATACGCCCCAGTTTGAACCCCTCAGTCGGGTGGGGCACCCAAACCTTCTTACCCCCGTCCATGGTCAGCTACCAAGATCTGAAAAAAAAAAATCACTCTTCAGAGATTATTGTTCACAACAATCAATCAAGGCTAAACGTGAAGTGTAATAATAGCAAAAAATAGTACCAACTTCCTGGTACTTGTAAATGATGTCGATCGAGTTCTGTTTGTATCCAAAAATACTACAGGTTTGTGAATTGATTATTGAATAATCTGCAAACTAAAAATTATTTGCAGAGAAGAGTAGTTGCAATGGGAAATTTATAATTTATATAACCTACATCTCTGTACAAATGAGACTGAATCTAAAATTTTCGGAAATGAGAGCTTTCAAGAAAAAATTGTGGAACAAATTTATTATTAATCAACCAGTTTAAACACCATTCTATAAAACATACAGAGGTACAATCACAAATAAATTGAAAAAAAAACACTGGTAATCATGGTAATAAAACTTAATTAGACATTTAAGACTGCTAGTATGTCAGAGTGTTAGGCTGTAGATCTAAAACAATGTCAATGATGTCTGTTTATCAACATAATTTACTTTTTGTTTCAGCATTTACATGTGTGTGAAATTAAAACAAATTGTTGAATTTTGGACATTATTCACAAATGAAATCAAGATAAAAGACACCAACTTCTATCAAATGGCAAAATATCAAGAGAAAGAATAAAGAAAATATCACGTCTGCTAATTATCTCCCTTTGATAACGTCTAGACTGGAGGAAAATTAAACCAAACATTAGATGATAACATAGCTGAGGCTCTACAATAATTAAATTCAATAATCAATTAAATGTTGGAAGCCAGGATACACAAGAATACACAGCTTCATCCTGGCTTTTTCCTTGTTTAGTTTATACTGCATGCACATAGTTTTACAAGCAGGTACAGTCCATATGGTGTGAGCAAAATAAATGATTACTAATGAAAGCCATTGTAACCATATTTGCTATATATGAAATATAGATGAGGTTTTCTATCAATAAACCAAAAAACCATTTAATTCAGTTGTACATGTTGTATATACATGTTTCATCATATGTTAACTGCAATAAACAATTTCGGTAGAAATCAATCGCAACGATTTACATTTGTGACTGAAAGTTTGTCGCAAAACTCGAAGATATATCTTGCACATGAATTAAAGTTGGTTACAATTATTAAAATCAAATTAACTTTTACTGGCAGAAAAAATATAATTTTCATGAAGATATAAAAAAGGGGGGAGCAACATTTGAAATTAATTATGTTTTTAATTTAATGAAGGTAATATTTTGAATATTAAATTATTTACAGATGAATGGGAATGCATGCTGTTTGTAAATACCAAGACCCTCTCTCAAGCAAGATTTTTTTTTAATATCAAAGGGAAACAATTAACCAATACCACAGATGAAGTATATTTGCCATATGAATGGTCTTTCAATCTCGTGTGGCAGAAAAATGAAAACAAACTATTCCATACGTCAAGCCTATGATATGGCGGCCAGTCCTTTGATATCATGTATATATTGAGATGTTTTCAGAAAACATACATTGACTGTCAGACAGCATTATTCAATTAAAGTAATCCTATTACAATAGCCACATAGTATTGTCACCTACTGCCCTACACTTAAATCAATACAATAAATCTGTACTGTTACAATGTAGGAGCGTAATTAATAGAATTGTCTCCCAATGAATTAATAATTTCACCTCTTTCTTTTGATCTCTTGTATTACATGTACAACATTACTGTAAGTATAACAAATATTTATGAAATAAATCTTTTTATAAAAATTCTGTACATTCTTTGTGAAAGGGTTGGGCCTATATTTATTATTTACATGTGCACTTTTAAATATTATAATGAATATTTGCTGTTTCAATTGGTAAAGTCTCGTGAGAGAAAATGTAGAATATTTTGAATGTAGAAGAATATAAAGTTACTGAAGGTTAAAATTATTTAAATCATTGAAAATCTTGTAAACTGTGCATGCATAATAGTTTCACCCTAAAATATAACAAATTTTACAAAAAATATATGTACATGTATAATCTACATCTGTACATTCTACTATAGTCATATATAGATAACATTTATCAATAGATTTCTTCTTTAAAATCTTTCACAGGAAATAACCTGCTCTATAAATCTTCAGTAACTGATAGTACATACACATAAATCATTGATGCAGTAAAGTGGTGTGGGTACAGAGAGGTTTATCTATAGTCAGCAATATTACACACCTGTCTCTCCTAGCTGTTACCATGGAAACAAATATCAATATCTACCTGAGTTTTGAAAGCAAAGCTGAAAGCTAATATTTTTTCCTATTGATTTAGAATTTACTTCTCTTAAATACAATGTACAGTAGTGCACAATATGTCATGATATATTAGTGGCTCATCATTCTTCTCTATGCTATCAAAGACATGCAGCTATGACCTGAATTTAGTGCCTTTAGTTCTTGTATAATAAAATACAATCATGACATTTATCATAATTTTGGAAAGATGAAGCTTCCCCCCCCCCTTTTATAGGGGGGGGGGGGGGGCTGGTGCATGACAATTTTCATTCCCTTTAATTTTTTTCTCTGATCTATACCAGTCATGACAGAAATTTGACAAACATAATTAATATTTATCATTATACCATACATGAAGAATACAGAATTTTTACATGCATGTATAGTTGTATACTTCTTCAAACATCAATGCAATTAATTAATCCATGATTTATTCAGATCTTTTATAAAACGTGAAATTATAAACAAGTGTATAACCAACATATTGACAATGTTATTTATGCACTGGACTGACTGGTCAACTTCTTCAGTTTATTTAATTTTTTAATCATGTTAATGTGTATTTGACGGCACTAGCTGTCGATTAGCCCATTGCATGCCAGCCTGCACATTAGATTACCTGGCAGCAAATTTTCTCCCTCATTAACCCTGAAGATTGAAAGTTTCCAGATAAGATACGAAGGACGGTGATCCGCCCCAACTATCAAACATGAAACAACGGATTGGAATGTCCATATTATCAAATCCCAGCCCCTGTTACGTAACATTTAAAACACAATAAAATGATTTAATCTGCAATCATTACATGTCAAATCATATACCCTGCGGGTATAACCGCTTATCGCGACTGAAGAAAAAAAAAGTTTCAAAAAATAGGTGGATCCAGTTATGCACTTCAACGAAAAATCAACAAGGTCTGATGGGAAAACAGAGTTCCCGCTCAAACGGAGAGACTGCGAGTAATTCCTGAAAAGAAACTGACTTACTTTGGAAAACTACCTGACAATACATAAAAACAATCACTCACCTGTCCTGAGGGACGGTATTTCGTCGTCTCAAAGGTCTAAGCCAACCTCAGGTGTGACTTCCGGTTACAGGTACCGGTGAATTGACATTCTATAAATAGACCTGCGTAGTCAGTTGCGCACCGAATGACTTGAACAGGTATGGGTAAAGCTAATAAACGGAAATTACGGGGAAATACTTATGATTGAGATGAATAGCATTTATCATTGAGATGAATATCATATAACAGTTAATATTGCAATGAGTTCTCTATATTTTTTTTTTTACAAAATACATTAGGTCTAATTTTTAGTGTTAAACTTATTTCTAGTGATATCATATTTATTTATTTATTTATTTTACATATATTCAGAATGTTTGTTCTTGCCAAGCTCCCACATAGGACTGATAGGTATCTTTGAATACCTGGCATCAAATTAACACTGTGAAGCGCGGATCTAGAGGGGGTCGGGGTCCACCTACACCCCCTAGAATTTACATCTCTAGTCGTCATGAAAAAGCGGTCCCCTCCTTGAAAGAGGGTTTCAAATTAATTTGGGGAACGAATTTATTATTCTTTTCCATGTGAAGAAAATTCTGGGTTGACCCCCAAGAAAAGTTCCTGGATCCGTGATATGTATCTTAACTCTTCCAATGTGTATTATAATAAAGTTTATGAACTTACAGGCGCGTAACATCGTTTTTGAAAGTGGGGGGGGGGGGGGGGGGGGGGGGGGGGGGGGGGGGGGGGGGCAAAAAAAAAAGGGGGGGGGCCGGGGCGGAGCCAAACAAGAAACCAAAAAAAAAAAAAAAAAAAAAAAAAAAAAAAAATTGCCAAAAGTCGAAAATCCTATTTCGGGGTAGGGGGGAGGGGGGTGGGTGGTGGGGGTGGGGGTAAGTAGACTTTTTCTCAGTGTCTACTACTCTCACTACCAATTATTCTAATACTACATTTTCGGTGCATCACTAAAAGTTGGGGGGGGGGGGGCAAACAGGCTTTCAATAAACATTTCCTATAGTATAAGTAAGGTTGGTAAAAAAAAGTGCCCCCCCCCCTGTTGCTACGCCCCTGACTTAATCAATTATTATTTTAAAAAAAATTATCTCCTTAAATTCTTTAATCGACTTTTTTGAAGATTTTGAATGTATGGATTATTATTTTTTTTATTGTACATTCGTACTGATTCGTAAGATTTAAAAGACTAACTTGTAAATACATTTTATAAAATTTAGTTATAAAAGAAGGTTTTATATATACCCATATACGGATACTCGCCCCCCCCCCCCTTCCAGCACGAAATAGAATTTTTGCTTTTCAAAGTCTTTTCCATCATTTTTTTTTCCATTGTGCTGCCATCTTAATTCAGTTCTAAAACAATATTAATGTCTGGTATGGTACCGGTTACTTAAAAAAAAGGACATATTACGATTATTTAAAAATAAAAATGAAAAAATAAATAAATAAAAGAATACAAATGATAACAATGTAAAATGAAGGAAATAGACAAAATAAATGATCATGGATTATGATTTTTCTTTAATTAAACTGAGCCTTTACATGCACTGGTATCCCAGATTCATGACATTTTTTTCCTCAGCTCAATTTTTTTTGTACAAAAACATGTACGTAATAGCTTTCTCATTATAAAATGTATTATGTAGTCATGTATTAAATTATTATATGTACCAGTTATCCTCTAGTTTTCAGAACTAGTTTACTTCCAGTATTTTTTTTTATTAAGTTCTGACTGTAAATTAAAAAAAAAAAACCTTCCTCTTCGTCAACTGTCAAATAAATCATTTTGTCACCTCTTTCACAAAGCTGTGTAATGCAGAGCTATAATTTTCCCCAAAGTTCACCTATAATTATGATTCTATTAATATTCGTCAACATAACCCCTACCTGTTTTGCTTTGCAGCCTATATAATCTTAGTATACAATTACAGTGGATGACAAGTCGCATAAGTCATTTTAGCATCAAAAATTAAGGGAGAAGACGATCAGATGCGGTTCTCAGGGGAAACGGTGCTAGCATTTTCTTTCCTAAGCAAATTAATTATTCATTTTTTTAACCAAAAACATTTTTGTTTTTTTAAAAAAAATCATAAAATGATTGTTGATGGTCCCTTAAAATATAACAAAGTGGGAAAACTTGGAATTTGTTTCTAAAAAAATATCTCAATTTATTATCATTATTTTTTTTTTTAGTAAACCGGAAACCTCTTTTCATTCATTGCACAGACTTTTTGTTCAGTTACAATTAGAATTTTGTTTCCTTGAATTTGTGATTGCGAAGGTACGAAAGCCTATTAGGACCAATATAGACAAAAAAAATTAAAAGGCGTTATAACGCCTTTTGAAAAGGCGTAATAACGCGAAAAAAGGCATTATAACGCCTTTTGAAAAGGCGTTATTACGCCTTTCCATTCCAAAAGGCGTTATTACGCCTTTTAAAAAGGCGTCATAACGCCTTTCTAAAAGGCGTTATTACGCCTTTCCATTCTAAAAGGCGTTATTACGCCTTTCTAAAAGGCGTTATAACGCCTTTCCAAAAGGCGTTATTACACCTTTCTAAAAGGCGTTATAACGCCTTTCCAAAAGGCGTTATTACGCCTTTCCAAAAGGCGTTATACAGTGCAGGGAAATAATTTTGTTACAGCATCAATGCTGATTTTGGTGCTTCCTATGCTTGCTGATTTTGATGCTTCCTTTGCTTGCTGATTTTGATGCTAGTTATCCTTATCCTGATCCTGGTTTGATCCTTATCCTGATGCTGGTTTGAAACTAGGTCAATGGTAGTAATGCTACGGGAAGTAGGATTATCCTGCCGGAAGTGGATAATTCAAAAACAGCATCGCTATTTTAAACCATTAAAAATAATTTTTGGGGTAATTTTTATTTGTAATTTGTATTAAATGACTTTCCTTTATCTGTTTTCACTTTGGTCAATGCTAGTTCTATCCTTTGCTTGCTGATGCTGATCCAAGTAATGCTGTTTTTTTAAATGCTGATGCTGATGCTAGTTCTATCCTGATCCTACTTATGCTGTTCCTGATGCTGGTTTAGGTAACAAAATTAGTTCCCTGCACTGTAATGCCTTTCCAAAAGGCGTTATTACGCCTTTCTAAAAGGCGTTATTACGCCTTTCCAAAAGGCGTTATAACGCCTTTCCAAAAGGCGTTATTACGCCTTTCCAAAAGGGTTTTAACTCTTTTTGAATAATTATTTTGCATTTATGGAAAGGCGTTATTTTATGTTAATAAATAAATGAAAGATTTAATTAAAACCATCTTTATTTATGCAATTCTCTATATCCCTGCACATCACACTGACAACTGTTTGCATGCATATTAAGAGAAGGCAACACGTACTCTACTTGTTAAGATACGATATAGACAGATGTATCTTGGAGCTTTGCTTGCCCTGGGTTAAAATTCATGTCATTTGAAGATATTTTTCCCTTTTCTTGGAAAAAAGTAGGCAAACTATTTGCATAAGTATAAAGAGCTATTGAAATCAATGATCCTTGGTAGAAGTGTGTCTGGTATTAAAGAAGGACTTAGTTGGTTCAACAATGAAAATATATGACGCATTAATAAATATCTTTTTTTCTGGAAATCTAATTGTTATCTGTTAAAATTATTTTTTGAGAAATTAGTCCTATATCAAATTGTAAAATGAATGTCCGAAAGGTAAGATTTCTGCACCCCCACCCCTCGGTTGGGCTAAATATGTTAAATCATGTATTCAAAATAAAGGCGTAATAACGCCTTTTGGAAAGGCGTAATAACGTCTTTTAGAAAGGCGTAATAACGCCTTTTCAACTAATAACGACTTTTAGAATGGAAAGGCGTAATAACGCCTTTTAGAATGGAAAGGCGTAATAACGCCTTTTAGAAAGACGTTATAACACCTTTTAAAAAGGCGTAATAACGCCTTTTGGAATGGAAAGGCGTAATAACGCCTTTTTAAAAGGCGTTATAACGCCTTTTTTTGCGTTATTACGCCTTTTTGAAAGGCGTTATAACGCCTTTTTAATTTTTTTCTCTAGATTGGTCCTAATAGGCTTTCGTACGAAGGGAATATACAATATGTACATTTTTAGTTTTTTTAAGCTCACTACCTGGTAGACAGGTGATGCTCACTCCTCAATGACACCAGATCCATCTTTGATGTTAAAAGGTCTGTGTTTGCTTTGCTCAGGATAAGTACTGTTGAAATGGAGTTTGAGCTTGAATATACTGTTTGTTATCTCAATATGCTTCATTTGTTTAGGTTGTGAGGGAAAACGATGCTGACATTCTATTTGCTAGGCAAATTATTCGTTTTTTTTTTTACCAGAGACAAATCAAAAAAAATTCTTGCTGATGCCGCTTGAAAAATAACAAAGTGGGAAAACCTGGGATAAGGGAAACTGGATATGGAAAACAGATCGAACACGATTTCCAAAATAAAAACTACTAGTATATTTACAAACGACAATGCATGTACAACATATGCAATGTATTGATAATTCAAAACAATTTAGTTCCTGAACATCCGAGTCACACTCTTCTCAAAATGCATCACAATCTAAAAAAAATACTAGTAACAGTTCGAGAAATTCATAAAACTATGGTACATGTATACTTTAATGTAAATTACAAACCTATGGGTTTATCTTTATACCCGTTATTTGAGAGAATACCCCCCCCCCCCCCCCGGCTGTAAAAATCACTTTCTCATTACCGACTTTTTAACAAATCGATTTCCAATAAGAAAAAACTTCCATCCTTTTATTTCAATTGTGGTAATCGACGTCCAAATCGGCGATAGCATGCGAGGCTTTGTTACCAAAAGTGAATTCAATTTAATTTGCTTGTCACATAACATATATAACCAACTGATAAACCGCTGTACTAAGTACTTGATATCCTCTGTTGATTGTAATTTTGCGTTATTTTATTGTAAGTCATAATACTCAAAATACCTTCAACAATACCTTTTAAATGACAGGTTTTTAAAAATATTGTATACGTGTCATACCTTTCTGTAAACATTTCTAAATATATTATGTTACACTAAAACAATTAATCGTGGTCGTACAGGGTAGC